CTTTTTTTAACATAATTCCCAAAAGTACCCAGGATTGCTTAAAAGAAGATTCCACAGTACTAATTAACGATCAGACCAGGAATAGAAATATAGGTGGAACTCTTTGCTGACCTACATACTTTATTAGCTGAATAAAATTTTTTTAAGTTAACAAAGACTAATTCACCTAATTTTTTCCAGTAAAAAGAAATTCATTTAGGAACAATGTCCTTCCTATCAAAAACTCTTTTCTGAATTTGTACATCAGTTGCATGTGTTACTGGAAGTATGCATGTAAATGTTTCTTTATCTTTATGTCACTTCCAATTAGAGTTGTTATCAAAAGAGAATCATATTTATATCTAACCCAAATTTACTCTTTTTTAACTTCATATTCATGGAATATTGTAAAAATGTGGTATGTGTGGGAAATTTCAACTTCAGGAGATCAAGTATCTACCTTACTACTTGTGAGTGAAAGTAGAAAGAATCAGTGAAGAAGAGAGAGAGAGAGAGAGAGACAGAGAAGCCATCCACTTGTTCCTGTATCACTAAACAAAACTTTATTTACTAATCAACAAAGCACAATATTATGCAAGCTTAAAAGTAATCAAAGTTTACCTCTAATCCCGAAAATTCCAGAATCCCGAGTTTCACTTTTGAATTGTTTGTCAGGGGAATTTTTTCCAAGATGTGTTATTATTTTCCTTTTCCCTTTCCTTCCCCCTAATTTTAAGATCCCCTTTCTTAGTCATGCTGCACTGGTTTCTCAGACTCCTTCAGTAATTAAGGACCCAAGCAAGACTAGTCTTTTATGTTCCAAACTTATTCATCCTTTCCTCTCATAAAAAAATTACCTGTCATAGATGAATGGATAAAGAAGATGTGGTACACACACACACACACACACACACTAGAATATTACTCAGCCATCAAAAAAATGAAATCTGACCATTTACAATGACATGGATGGAACTAGAGGGTATTATACTAAGCGAAGTAAGTCAATCAGAGAAAGACAATTATCATATGATCTCACTTATATGTGAAATTTAAGAAACAAAGCAGAGGATCATAGGGGAAGGGAGGGAAAAATAAGAGACAAACCAGTGAGGGAGACAAACCACAAGAGACATTTTTTTTTTAAAGATTTTATTCATTTATTTGACAGAGACAGAGATAGCGAGAGAGGGAATGCAAGCAGGGGGAATGGGAGAGGGAGAAGCAGGCTTCGCCCCCGAGGAGGGAGCCCGATGTGGGACTCGATCCCAGGACCCTGGGATCATGACCTGAGCCGAACTCAGACGCTTAACGACTAAGCCACCCAGGCACCTGCCACAAGAGATTCTTAACTCTACGAAACAAACTGAGGGTTGCCATCCACTTGTCCCTGTATCACTAAAGCCACAAGAGATTCTTAACTCTAGGAAACAAACTGAGGGCTGCCAGGGGGGAGGGAGGTGGGGGGACGGGGTAACTGGGTGATGGGCATTAAGGAGGGCACGTGGTGTAATGAGCACTGGATGTTATATGCAACTCATGAATCACTGAACTCTACCTCTGAAACTAATAGTACACTATATGTTAATTAATTAATTTAAATAAAATAATTTTTAAAAATTATCTGTCATGATCCAGTACCTCAAACTTCTGCTTTTTCACTATCTACTTAATCTAATGAATAATTCTACCTTTGATACTGGCTACTGATAATGGCCTAATTTTTATCTTTTCTATATTACATATGCTATTTAATAGTGGCCCTACTACCTTAGTAATTGTAGGGAGAGTGTGCGGCACTGGGAAATACGAGTTTTAGTTCTGCCCTGTCTATGTGACATGGACAAATTACCAGATCTTTGGAAGCTCAGTATGCTCACCTAAACTTTAGAGTACTACTGATTTCACCCAAGGGTAGTCAAGCCTATGTGCATAAGGACTTGCAAAATTCTGAGACAATTGATATTAAGTATGTAAAAATGCTTAACAATTAAAAAGTGCTGTAGAAATGTATGATATCATTATTATTACTACTCTCATTCTAGTTAATTTAACATAACTTTTCAAAGGGATAAAACTTTTCAGAAGGAAAATGTATTAAAAGCACACTTTTAATAACTCCTGAAAACTTTAGGAAAACCTTCCCTACTGGAGTCCTTTTTAAAATTTTTCTTCTACTTTAAGGAATGATGACTAGTTACATAAAATGCTATGGGAATCTGCTTATGATAGGCTGATTGGTATTGACTAATGAATAAAATAAGAGATTTACAAAGGAGAAAGAAAAAAGTAAGATGTTGAACGTTAAATGTCTTTCTTAGTTATTTTTTCATCTTCCCATTATGCTCATATATGTGTTTCATACTTTCAAAACAAAATAGAATTGTGAAGATTAAGAAAGCTATAGAAATTGTGAAATTTAAAAAAATCATTAATATTGAATCTTTACGGATCATTGATCTAAACAAAAGTTGTGTACTATATTTATGAACTATATATATAATGAACTATATATAATGAACTAAAGTTCATTAATCAGTATCTGCTGCTTGGCATTTTCTTCCTGAGATTTTCTTTCTGTTGGTTCATTTCTAATAAATAGATGTCTCTAACAAGCCTACCTTTAATCTTCATAATATGTACATATGCTAAGAAACATTCCAGAATGCAGAAGGAGGAGGTGGAGGAAAGGGAAATTTCAAAAAAAATGACTTGTTTATTTGGGGGAGGATAAAAATGTAAATCTAAATGTTCCCTTTACCTCCTTCAAATATTCACAAAACAGTCACAAAATATTTTAAACATGGGTTAAGCCACTGGGGAAAACAGTTTTCAAGAGTCTGTTACCTACTTACTAATATCCAATACCCAACAAGGAAAGTTAGCAAATAAGACAGCATGTGTTGAAACTGCTCTAGATGAATTTCAACATTTGTGGCATGTTTATATTTTTACAGGATGTGACTCAAAATTTGCTTTGAAGTATTTCGCATTTCTTACGGTAATAAAGAAAAATGTTCAGTTTTCTTCCAATTCTCCATTAATATTTAGATAAAGCCACAATTTTCTCTTTGATTAACCAAAAATACAATCCTAAAAAATATTATTTAGGGAATTTGCATCTAAAATATTATCTGACTTTTTTTTTAACCCATGTTTTCTTCATAATAAAAGCAGCTGTTGTGTAGAAATTATGTTCAGGGTAGTGATATTAATTTATTTCTCCATGTATTATTTATATTCTGCAAGCTTCCAAAAAGAATTAAATAGTTATTTTGACATTAAATAGAATTGTAGAATTTTTAAGAACCCAAAACCTAATGAATGATAAGTGAAAACAAGTAAAATTGGCTTAGAACAAATTTTTGCATTAGGAAAGCACTATGTAAACACTGAGAAAAGTAAGTAAAAATCTTTCACAGCTTGAAATCACTGAGAAGTTTTCTTTCCCTTTTTGGGTTATTAGGTATTATAAGCAAGGAAAATACTATGGACAGGATCTATCTTGATTTTAGAAAGTGATTAGGAAAAGAATCTAGTAGGATTCTTTTATATATGAGGGATATACAGGGATTTTGGTGAAATTCACAGAGGAATAAAAAAAAAGTTTGCAAAAAGTAATGAATGAAACATTCTCACAACCTGAATGAGGACATGCTTTTATCATTATGAGATTGTCAAAACATACTGAATTTTATAAATATCAGAAAGTTCCTTTAAAAAAGTTAGTAAAATCCCAGATTATAATCCAAAGATAATTAATATTTGATCAAGTGCATACCCCATGATACTCTCTGATGTGGGAACATTATCCGGAACCCTGGGCTTGGTTGTGGCAGAACCCACACTTTACAGGCGACTTGGCAAACAAGAATATGCTCAGAGAAAGTGTCAGAGGTACTGAAGTCTTTGAAAACTATACAATGTAAGAATTTGTTGAAAGAACAAATTGTGTTTGGGCTGAAAAAGAGTCTCAGATAAGAGATGCTAACAGCTTTTAATATCTGAAGATCACTTAAGAGGAAGGAGAGAGGCCTCAGAAGAAACAAATCCTAATACTTGGATCTCAGACTTTTGCCTCCAGAACTGGGAGAAATAAATTTCTGTTGTGTAAGCCACCCAGTCTGTGGTGCTTTGTTACAGCAGCCCAAGCAAGCTAATACAGAGACTATTGTTGTATATAAACCCAGTTTAAATATTAAATTCAAGGTGATGCAAGACTGTGTAGCCATTTTTATAGCAACTCAAAATCTTTTATAGACTTTACACTTAGAATTCACAAGTAGATTTTATTTTTTCTGTTTATTTTTTTAAAATTAAATTTCATCGAAAATCTTAAACCTAATGGTTTTTTTTTCTCAGTCTACTCTATTGAAGAGATCTAGTTTAACAAAAAGAGCGCAAGAACTTCACAACCAATTAACAGTAAGCTTAAGTTATATGTAAACTTCCGGGATATGCAAAACATTTAATTTTTATCAAGATGTGTATAGTTAGTGAAGTTTAGGATGGCAGCTCATAATCTTTTAGAATATTCATGTGCACAAGCCAGCAGTTAACAATAGCAGAACATAGCTTTTTCCAACTCATTCAAATCATCTGCCCCCGGGGCACCTGGGTCGCTCAGTCGGTTGAGCATCTGCCTTCAGCTCAGGTCATGATCCCCGGGTCCTGGGATTGAGTCCAGCATCTGGCTCCTTGCTCAGTGGGGAGTCTGCTCTTTCCTCTGCCCCTCCCCCTCCCCCTGCTCGTGCTCTCTCTCTCTCTCTCTCTGGGTCTGAAATAAATAAAATCTTTAAAAAAAAAGTCTTCTGCCCCAATTGCGGAATGAGCTTAGTCCTGCTTTGCTGTATACCTGTAATCAAGCACTCAGCATGATGGTGTAGGGATATACTGGATGCACATTTGAAAGTATTTTTTAATTTAAAGAATATTATTTCCTATTCCTTTTAGAATTTCCTATTGGTAATATACATCAGTTTTAGGAATTAAGAAAAAGTTAAGTAAATGAATGTACTTACAGGTCCTATTAATTTAGATGCTTTCTCAAATTCTTCACCCTCTTCCATTAGTGCTTCTTCAGTCCCGGGTAAAGAATCTATTTTTACAAAAAGAATGAATAAATTGTTGTCAAATATTGCTTACTAACTCTGTGATATGTAAACCTATTATGAGAAGGATATGAAAGTGACCAAACTGGTTTTTGAAAAATCATAGTGTTTGTGAGTTAAAATAAACGGTAGAATGCTGTTTATTTAATTTAAGGACAACATTTGAAAAATGTTAAGTATTTCTAATTGAGAGGGACTCGATGAGATAAAAAATGTGTGACAGCTGCAGTTACGTTTGTCAGAGCAAGCCTGCTTTTGGCATATGATTTAGCTAACTGTTGGAACTTTTATTAATGTCCATTTTCTGGCTTGTAATTTTATATTTGTTTTATTTCTCCACTGTCTCCTTTTCTTTCTTTCTTTCTTTTTTTTTTTGGCTACACAATTTAAGCACCAATTTGTGTTCTCTCTAGTAAATGGAATGGCAAATTCTGAAAAGTTTAGAGAAAGGTACATCCCATGAAATGGTAGTGGGTTTTCCATTTTAAGTATCAAGTGAGACATCCTGATTACTTAGCTTGACTAGATTTGAGGAGTGGGTGAATATTGACTTTCTAATATGTGAATAAAATGATGGCAACCCTTTCCTTATATCTACTGAGTTACATTAATTACAACAACAAGAATTTCTAAGGGTTATAAATAATTCTGCAATAGGATAGATATATGGAACATTAGAAAAAGTCTGTGTTTTAATAACCTTCTATTTGAATTCCAAAAATCAGTTAAGAGGAAAGTATTTTAAACCACTGGAAACTTTTAAAATTGGTTTCTTATATTTATTAATATTTGAAAGAGCCATATGAATCCCTCAAGAAGACCTTCCTTCAGATTCACATACATATGGAGGTAGATTTTTTCCACTGCATAAAATGTGCACTCTGGGAATAAAATCAAAGCATTAAATCCTTCAAAAGCTTAATAGTCACCTAAGACCAGAGAGACAGCGGAAAGTTTAGCACAAATCCATAATCATAGCTTTTGAACCGTGGAGCTCTGTCTCTAATAATTCAGAGTTTTACATTCAAGAAGAAAAATTACTAAATCCCAGGGCACATAGTTTATCTAGATGTAAATGTAGATTTTTTTTTAGAACACAGAATTCTTTCCAACATAAAACTAACTTTGGAAGAACGACATACTTTCTTGAGCCATAGATAAATTTTAAAATGTTACCTACCACCCTTCCGAACAAAACAATGACATCCAAAAGAAGCAAATTTTTGTTGATAAAATCAGAACAGATGATGAGAATTACACAAGTTCAAAAATATTAATCCATTTATGAAGAATACTTGAACCCCTACCTACTAACACCCAGTTGTAAGGATGACAATACATTGATTCTTTAAATTAGAATGTATAAATTAGCATAATTTAAGTCCTGCTAGGCTGAATTATATTCTATATAACTGTGAGCAAATATTAGTGTAATTTTAGTATTCACTCACTATTTTTTGTTTCACTTATGTATTAAAATTAAGTAGAATATTGACTTAATAAATAATATTAAAATGTTCTATTCTACATTACAAAGCAAATTACGTATACAGAAGAAGAAAACCAACCCTCTTGTAGATTTGTTGATTTTTTAAGTTAGAAATACTCACTCTTCTCAAGTTTTTCTCAGTGAGTTAATGATTTTATTTATTTTTAAAGATTTTATTTACTTATTTGAGAGAGACAGAAAGAGCACAAGCAGGGAGAGAGGCAGAGGCAGAAGGAGAGGGTCAAGCAGACTCCCTGATGATCGGGGAGCCCCATGAGGGGCTCGATCCCAGGACCTGAGCTGGTCAGATGCTTGCTTAACTGCCTGAGCCACTCAGGCACCCCCAGTTAATAATTTTAAAAAGTATTGTTATTCTGTTTGATTTTTTTAAATAGATTTTATTTATCTATTTGAGAGAGAGAGAGCATGAGCAGGGGGAGGGGCAGAAGGAGAGGGAGAGGGAGAAGCAGACAGCAGATGCTCCCCGCTGAGCACCGAGCCGACTCTGGGTGGGGGCGGTGCTCAATCCCAGGACCCTATCCCAAGAACCAGAGATCACGACCTGAGCTGAAGTCAGATGCTTAAACGACTGAGCCACCCAGGCACCCCTGTCACTCTGTTTGATTTTTAATGCATGTATGTACTAATCAATTCATTCATCCATTTATTTGTGTATTTGTATAATCATTTAATTCAATAAATATTGTATGCCAGGCATTCATCTTGATGCTTTCAAAACAAGTTGAGCAAGATAATTTTCTATGACTCTTTCTCTCTTGGAATATACTTGAACACCTTTACAATATTATTTTTTTAAGAAAAATGAACATTTATAAAGGGAAGGTAGTGGTAACTTTTAATGGTTTTACATTCTGTTCTGTTCTTGTCTTGGTTGAATTCTTCCTGGCTATTGGTGCCATATCCAGTGAGATCTACAATATAGTGAGGTCCATTCAACTTAGTGTAGAAGGACAATGGTGAAGTGCTGCCAGAATATTTGCAAATTTACATATCCATATTAAAAGTTGTTAAGTTGAAAGAACCCTTCTAAATAGTCCAAATCTAGTGCCAGAATATTAATCTAATATACCAGTAGGGACAATAGACATCATGAAAATAAAATCTTCATGTTTAATGCTTGGAGGAGTACATTCCATTTTTTAAGTGTTCTGAGTGCATTGCTTATTAGCAATAATTGGTGGGTGTATATGTGTAAAGGGAAAGAGGAAGCAGGAAAGAATGTCCAATGGAAAAAAGACAGTCTCTTCAACAAATGGTGTTGGGAAAATTGGACAGCCACATGCAGAAGAAAGAAACTGGACCATTTCCTTACACCACACACAAAAATAGACTCCAAATGGTTGAAAGACCGAAATGTGAGACAGGAGTCTATCAAAATCCTAAAGGAGAACACAGGCAGCAACCTCTTTGACCTCAGCCGCAGCAACTTCTTCCTAGAAACATCTCCAAAGGCAAGGGAAGCAAGGGCAAAAATGAACTATTGGGATTTCATCAAGATAAAAAGCTTTTGCACAGCAAAAGAAACAGTCCACAAAACCAAAAGACAACCAACAGAATGGGAGAAAATATTTGCAAATGACATGTCAGATAAAGGGCTAGTATCCAAAATCTATAAAGAACTTATCAAACTCAACACCCAAAGAACAAATAATCCAATCAAGAAATGGGCAGAAGACATGAACAGACATTTTCCAAAGAAGACATCCAAATGGCCAACAGACACATGAAAAAGTGCTCAACATCGCTCGGCATCAGGGAAATCCAAATCAAAACGTCAATGAGATACCACCTCACACCAGTCAGAATGGCTAAAATTAACAAGTCAGGAAACGACAGACGTTGGTGGGGATGCGGAGAAAGGGGAACCCTCCTACACTGTTGGTGGGAATGCAAGCTGGTGCAAGCACTCTGGAAAACAGTATGGAGGTTCCTCAAAGAGTTGAAAATAGAGCTACCATACGATCCAGCAATTGCACTACTGGGTATTTACCACAAAGATACAAATGTAGGGATCCGAAGGGGTATGTGCACCCCAATGTTTATAGCAGCAATGTCCACAATAGCCAAACTGTGGAAAGAGTCAAGATGTCCATCGACAGATGAATGGATAAAGAAGATGTGGTATATACACACAATGGAATATTATGCAGCCATCAAAAGGAATGAGATCTTGCCATTTGCAACGACGTGGATGGAACTGGAGGGTGTTATGCTGAGTGAAATAAGTCAATCAGAGAAAGACATGTATCATATGACCTCACTGATATGAGGAACTCTTAATCTCAGGAAACAAACTGAGGGTTGCTGGAGTGGTGGGGGGTGGGAGGGATGGGGTGGCTGGGTGATAGACATTGGGGAGGGTATGTGCTATGGTGAGTGCTGTGAACTGTACAAGACTGATGAATCACAGATCTGTACTTCTGAAACAAATAATGCAATATATGTTAAAAAAAGAAGAAGAAGAAGAAGACAGCAGGAGGGGAAGAATGAGGGGAGTAAGTTGGAGGGGGAGACGAACCCTTAGAGATGATGGACTCTGAAAAACAAACTGAGGGTTCTGGAGGGGAGGCGGGTGGGGGGATGGGTTAGCCTGGTGATGGGTGTTGAGGGGGGCACGTTCTGCGTGGAGCACTGGGTGTTATGCACAAACAATGAATCATGGAACACTACATCAAAAACTAATGATGTAATGTATGGTGATTAACATAACAATAAAAAATTATTAAAAAAAAAAAGGTCTACCATGGGAGTATATCATCTTGTTAGTACTATAAGAGATTTCAGTATAAAGAAACTACTATCATTTCTTGTCTTGTGCTACACTGGCATTGGCTTATGTTCCCACAACACATTGTTTTGTTTTGTTAAGATTTTATTTATTTAAGAGAGAGAGTCAGAGATAGTGACAGAAATAGCAAGAGAGCACACAAGCTGGGAGGAGAGGAACAAGCAGACTCCCCACAGAGCAGGGATCCTGACACAGGGCTCGATCCTAGGAGCCGGAGATCATGACCTGAGCAGAAGGCAGACACTTAACCGACTGAGCCACCCAGGCGCCCCAACACTTTGTTTTTTAATGTTTAATGTTGTTAACATTTGACATGTAAAAAAGTATATATAGTTGACCCTTGAACAACACGAGTTTCAACTGCATGGGTCCTCTTACACATGGATTTCTTTCAATAAATACAGTGCAGTACTATAAATATATTTTCCTTATGATTTTCTTAATAACATTTTCTTTTCTCTAACTTACTTTATTGTAAGAATACAGTATATAGTACATATATAAAATATGTGTTAATCAACTATTTATATTATTGGTAAGGCTTCTGGTCAACAGTAGGCTATTAACAGTTAAGTTTTTGGTGAGTCAAAAATTATACTTGGATTTTCAACTGTGCAAGGGGTTGGCACCCCTAACTCCCATGTTGGTCAAGGGTCAACTGTATAAAATATGTATATAATGTATATATACATATATGTACATATATGTATATATAGTAAAAAATATATATAGTATATTTAGTTACAAAGCACAATGGTAAACAGCTTCAAACGGCCCCCTAACTTAAGAATTAGAACATTTCCAATAACCTGCATATACCTGTGAGTACCTGCCTTATCCCATCTCCTTGCTTCCCCATCCCCTGAGGATAACCACCATTTTGAGTCTTTCATTCCCTTCTTTAAATATAATTTTATCATTTAGGTATATTTTCCTAAAGAATATATTATTTGGATTTACTAGTTTTGAGCTTTATAAAAATGGTGTTCTATGACTTGCTTTTGTTCAATCAGTATTAGGCTTTTAAGACTCATTCAGTTGTGAGCTGTAACTTGCTCATACAGATTGGGAGACCCACTGCCATTTTCAGATCAGTTGCTTTAAATGAGCCACAGTGGTAGCATTTACATCATGGAAAACATCAATCTCTACAAATCAGGGCTTTCTTTTTCAAAAAAAGAGTTGTTAACTTTTACTAGCACACCTCTGATTTCAACCATCCTATGTGTGTATTTGAAATGCAATTTTCTATAATGGGACAATTCCACAGTGTATCCACTTTCCCGTCCACCAGCATATCAACCAAGGTTGTTCACGTTTCTTGGTACCTGAGACTTGTTTCTCTAAGATATTTACCCAGACGTGGAGTTTCTAAGCTTTAAATTATGTGACTATTCAAGACTTTAAAATAATGGAAAACTGTTTCCAAAATTGTTTATGCCCCACCTAGGGTGTATGAGTTTCTTTTCATCTCTGTCTTCACCCGCACTTTTGTTTGATTTCCTAATTAATACCAAACCAAAGCTTGTAAAACAACATCCCCCTAGGGTCTTAATTTGCTTTTCTTTGATTACTATAGTAGTTAAGCATTTTTTGTATGTTCATTTGGCACATTTGTGTTTCCTCTTCTGTGAAATATCTGTTCATATCTCTTGCTTATTTTTCTATTGGTTTGTTGACCTTTATTAAATTGTATGTTGTTTATGTATTCTAAATATTCATCTTTAATCAGTGACAAATATATTGCAAAAGTATTTTGCTATTTTGTGGCTTATTGATTCACCTATTTCTGGCATCTTTTGATGAGCAGGAGTTTTTAATACTCTATACTTGAGTTAAATTTTTTTGTTATGTTTTGGGATTTTTTTTTTCACCTTCTTTAATATGTCCTTCTCTATCCAAATGTAAGGAAAATATTTTCCCACAGCTTCTTTTCTAATTATCCCAACTGGATGTACTGACCGCATCTAGCCAGAACACTGAATGATGAAGTGGTGATATATCTCAGACGCCATTGTCATGGCACTATATGTACTTTTTTATTTATGCCGGAAACATTTTGAAGTCCCCTGACATGAACTTAATGTGCTGTGTGTCTTTTTTTTTAAGATTTTATTTATTAGAGAGAGAGAGAAAGCACAAGCAGGGGAAGGAGAGCAAGGGGGAGAAGCAGACTCCCCACTGAGCAGGAAGCCCTACAGGGGGCTCGATCCCGGGACTCCAGGATCATGACCCAAGCCGAAGGCAGATGCTTAACCCACTGAGCCACCCAGGCGCCCCTTAATATGCTGTGTTAAGGAGTTTGAATTGTGTCCTATAGAAAATGGGATAAAAGAAGCAGCTTTACTTTTAGAAAGGTAATAAACTAAAAAGAGATAAGACAGTACAAGGAGTACCCATTTATAGGCTTGTTCCAGTAGGCAGAGAAAAAAGCACAGAGGAGGTAGTGTCAGGGAAGATGAAGAGGAGGCTGGTTTGGGAAGATGAAAGTCACTGCCACAATTTGAGACCAATTTAATAAGGCTGAGAAAGAGGGAGGAAAACCCAGCATGGTGCTGACATTTCTGCTGGAAAGTCTGAAGGGATCTATAATGTGAAAATGGGAGTAGGCAACATAAGTTACAAAAACAAGTTTAAAGTAGTGACAAAATTTGGGGCGGAGCCAACATATAATTGACCAGTTTGTCCCTAAATCAGGCACAGACATGAGGAGGCTGTTCCTCAGAATCCACATGTCTTGTTTGCTTTTCTCCTTTCCCTTAACCTTCTGACACACACAGCCCGAGGGAGTGGTGGATATATGACTGACCATTACCATGATCTGGATGATCTGGAGCAGGGCAAGATGTTTGGTTTCGTTTCTTTCTTTCTTTGTTTTTTAATCTTCAGGTGCCATTCAAATACAGTAGATATTGTTGGATTTAAAACTTACCCAAAGAATCTGGTATTTCATCTGGAGAATGAAGTGCTTGTGAAGTTTCCTCCATCCTTTCTGCCAGGTTGTCTCCTTGAAGCCTAAATAATTAAAAATGGTCATTGAAACCTCGAATAATGTTGAATTGTGAAATGTGAACCATACACTACTGGGGACATGACTATGAACTTTTCCAACTTAAAATCAGACGTCATTCCTCAAAGTAGAAATAAAGGTTTACTAAAGCCTTTGTCATATAGTGTTTTTGTCTTTGTAGCCTTTAAGGACAAGTCTTCCATCATCTTTTTTCCTTATATAAATGGGAAGATTAAGTCTAGGCAGAATCTGCTTTTCTTCTCAGCCTGACTGGAGGAAGGTTTATAGGCAAACCTTTTCACTAAAACTACAATGGGGAGGTGAGTGGAAGAAAAGCAGGAGTCCAACACAGTGGGCTCGCCTTACTTCTGGATCCAGGGGCATGAGAGGGTTTCCATGATTACACAGAGGTTTATCAAACACAGTTCTCCAAGTCAACCAAACTTGAGCTTAAAGGCCTGCAGGTCAAGCTAAGTCTCAACAATGGAAGTTAAGATTCCTAATCTGTGTGACTCCCCAGGGTTCTCGTAGACACTGGGTCTTCAGGAAGGGAAGACATGGGTACTTTTAAGACAATATATTTCTGAACTTCTGTCTCCACCCTGCAATGGTGAGACTAGCGATATCTAATTCAAACAGTCTGGATTTACCTTATACTGTGAAATCACCCTATCAAATGAGGTAGAGCTTATTAATAACTGTTGGAACTCTGTCCTAAGAATAAGCTCTGCTAATATTGGAGGACAGTATATCAGATAATCCAGAGATTGGAAGTTTCTAACAGTGCCCTTATTTTTTTCTTGTATTTAGCTGATGGCAAGTGCCCTCATGGCAGAATATTAATAAATGCATAACAAATAGCATTGATATTTTTAAAAATACAAACTCAAGTACAATCCATAACTGTACAAGGCTCAAAAGTTAAACTTTTCAACTGCCTTACATCTTTGCTTTTATATGCCACAGTAGAATGACATACTAATTTGCATTTTTCTTTTGCATATTCAAGCACATATGTGCATGACTCTTTACCTTTTGTGTAACTATAAATAGTATAAATTATACTTTCATCTTTATTCTTTTAATATTAAGTTAATATTAATATTAAATTCTGCACATTTTTGTACACATTATATATTAATAGTTACATATTACCTTCTGTACACAAAACCATATTTACTGTATTATATAAGCTAACTAAAGAATTCTCAAGAGTAATTTGCTGATAGGACATTTTTTGGTCAAATATATACATTTTATACCTTTTTTATTGATTTTTATACTTTGAATTAATTTTTAAAATTTTACTTTGAAAGAACAACATCACTTTTAAATGATTTAGCTACATACTTCTCAAATCTGTCCATTTTTTATTTTGTTTATTTCTAACCATTAGAATAAATACTTCACTAAACTGCAGTATCAAATAGTCTTTTTGCATTTCCTTTGTCTAGGACCATTTCATCAAATTTTCAAAGAGATAAAGTATGTAGAAACATGAAATACTGAAAGGTGTAAGTAAACATTATTATTAAAAATTGACAATGAAATCCAATATATTTGGGTATTTCAAATTAGATTAAAAACCTAAATGGAAAATAAATCTCCAAAAAAGGCAGAAAGAAAGAAGCAAGAAATAAAAACTAAGTTGTAAATTTCTTTTTGCTCACTGCAAGCTTCAATAAGAAAGATTTATTTTGTATTTATTAATATGCTCAGTAATAAGCCTAATGTGGTAGAGATGTAAATAAGTGACAACTGATCCTGATTTCAGACTTCTCAATTTAGCTGAGTCAAAAAGACAAATGGGCATGAAAGCAACTCAACAGATTGGGTGGCCTTGAAGCTGGCTCATCTCTGTCCAAACACTGCCCTCCAGATACCTTAAGAGTTGGAGTTACCGTGACTTGGCAGCAACTCCATTAAGGAATGCTTCACAGCCCTGCTATCCTTGAGTGCTCTGCCAGTGTTTCCCAAACTGCAATCCACACAGCACTACTTCTGTAAGAGGTTAATAGGCACTATGCAAACAAGGGTTATGTGGGCAAGTCCGGGAAATTCAGTCTTAATGAAAGTTAAATCTTTTTTTTTCCTTTACACTACAAGAGTTTTACTTATACTCCCAAACCTTTTCTCTTTGCTTTCTAAAACTCCTTTTCCATATTAAACACTCTCTTATATTCTCAATATCTAAACAAAATGTTTCCTGCCCTGCCTTGTCATCACTGAAACCCTTTTCCAAGAATATTGCACACTTTTTTCCTCTTAGAATATGAGAGTGTATCCTCTCCAAAAGAAGCTGCCTAATTCCTTGACCTCAGATAACACAGGATTAGAAATATTAACCTTCCTTCTTTCTGCCTGTGAAGACTTTGCTCAGAATCAAAGTTTTCTTCTTCAACTCAAGCATCATTATCACCTTGAATGATTTCTGTGTTCTTGTGTAACTACCCACTAATTTGGCTCTTGATCTCTAATCTGGAAATCTTCCCTTCTACTTTACCTTCTCTCGCCCAAGGACAGATAACCCAGAATTGCTATGTGTCAGCAATCTTTCAATCCAATGTTCGGTTCTCTGACAATAAACTTGCCTCCTTTAGGCTCTTTCACAAACTTACTGTTCTTAACACTTTCTCTTCAGTCAAACATGGATCCCAATTTCTTTTTCTCCCAGGTACCTGGCCTCTGCTCGTTCCAGTTCTGCCCTACTCAGCTGGGACTTGTGGTCTCCTCAGTTCCCATGCACCTACATCCTCCCATCATTACTGACCAACCAGACCCTAATTCTGTATTAATCCATCATTTTCCTACACATGTGCACCTGGAGCAATGCGGGAGAAAGTCAGACACTCTAGGATTGGTGAGCACAAGTCAATGGTCTCCAACTTTAAACTTGGGCTTCTTGGCTTCTTGGTTGTCTTTCTTCTGTTCCTTTCAAAGTCTGTACCTTACAAAACTATTATCTCTTTTTTAGGTCACCTAGAAAAATGATATATTAAGGAAGAAAGATCTGCTACTCCCCCTCACACAGCACCTACAGAATTATCTTCAGCCCAGCCAGTATTCACCACCTTTCCAATTCACAAAGGGTGAGACTCTCTGTCCTATGTAAGGCTCAGACCATCCATTTAGGCTGATGATTTGGATCCCCTCATCTCATCTCTCTCTTGGACCTTGATTTATTTTATCCATTACCATTCATTCTGTTCATCCCCATTGCTCATTTCCCACAGCATAGAAGCAAGCTCATTTCTCTTTCACCTGTAAAAAAAAAAAAAAGACAAACACAAAACAAAATCCCTCCCATAATTACCTCAAACATCTAACTGTTGCTTTTTCTCGCTCATTCTTCTTTGAACCAAACTCTCTAAATATTCTTCATTCATTACCTTTGCTTCCATAGTTTTCATTCATTCCTCAACTTATTTTAATTGGTCTGTGTCTCTCCCATTCTGAAATGACTGTCTGGCCTAATTGCCATATAAAACAGAAACTTCTAATACCTTATTTTTATTTAACTTTCAACTGTACTTTGTATGCACACTCTTTTCCCAATCTCTTTTATACCAACTCTCTGAATCAGCTCATCTACTCATGGTTTTAATTACATACAGATTGACATTTTTCAAATCTTTATCTTGAGTCCTCAGCTTAAGATTGATATAGCCACATTTTTGTAGGACATTTTACTTGGATGCACCAAAAACATCACAAAGGCAACATGTCCAAAAGCAGACTCATTTTCTTCATCACCTTGTATTGCTAATCAATCCCAGTGTTGCTAATTATGCCTCCTAAGGAGATTTCCTGAATCCATCACTTCTTCTTTTTACACTACTATAAGTTTGCTGCTCATTTTTATTCACCTGGATTATTACATAATGTCCTCACTGATGGTCATACTTAGAAACTTGCCCTTCAAAAACCAATTTTCCATGTGGCTACCAGAATGGAATGTTCAAAACAAATCCAAACATATTACTCTTATGATTTAAATATTTTAGTGCAAGAGAACTTAACATGAGTATTTTTAGAGGGTCTGTGGGCAGGTTTTAGGGGAATCACAATAATTCACAGTAAATGGAATGAAAAGTTTTTGGCAGATGTGCTCTTTTTGGACAGGGAGACAGTAACTTCAACCAGATTTTCAAAATAATCCTTGACTCCAAAAAGTTTAAGAGTCTTAAACTGGGTCTACCATTTTTACTGGCTTCTCATCACCTGCAAGATGAGTTATGGTTTCCTCACCAAGTCATTTGAGTCTCTCTATTGCACAACCCCTACCCTGTTTCTGCAAATTCATCTTTGATTTTATACTTCATAAAGCTCACTGCTTTTACTTTTTTGCAGGTATTTTGTTATTAAGGTTCTGAACTATTATATAATTATCTCTGGCATGTCTTACTTCCCCTCTTTTACTATTTGGTTTAATCCTGGTTTTTCATTCTAGAGTCTCTTCTTTTCAGAACCTTTTCTTTCAGAAGTCTTAGCACCTATGCAAAACTTTACCATTGCTCTTGCTTTACTATATTTTAATTGTCTGTTTAGATGTCTGTTTGTCAATACACTCCAAGTGTCTTAAAGGCAGGAATTTTATTTTTCATATTTTTATGTCCCTAAAACCTAGCTTAGGTTGAGCTTGATACATTGGTAAACTCTAAAAGATATTTCTTAAGGCATTTTTTAATGATTAGCTCACCTTGGAGATAAGGACAGGAAAACAGGGCACACCCTATATATGAAGAATTTTCTACAGAATACTATAATAGAGTTACATTTCCTTGAAAAGAGGTAACACTATCTGGCGTATATTTAGGGTTAGACAGTTCTTAACCTGGTTTACTCTAATGCAGAACATGAGACAGAGGCTTATGTGCCAGTGCTTGTATGACCTGGGGAACAGGAGTGAAGGACATGGGAGTAAAATGCAAAAGGAGAGAAACACAGTACAAGGATGTGTTATTGAGCCAGCCTCTGTACAGATGGTTGCAGCACAATCCCAAAG